TAGTAGTCATTCCCTATTAGCCTATTACAAACCGAAGACTGTAGGCTTGCCAGTCAGCTCCCCTAATTAGCACCCTTACTAACCTACACGGAGCAAACTCAGTCAGTTCCCCCAATTAATTTAGCACCCTCTAGAAGGAGCAAACTCACACAATGACAATAATAATAAGTAAGTTCTTAAGCATGTGCTATACTCAGTGGGGCAGGAAGGACACTATGAATGGTTTGACCATGTTGCAATTTAGTTTAGGATCTCGGGTTTCTAGAGGGTCTAGGGTTTAGATAGTTAAAAAAGGTGTAGGGTTTAGCATTCATATAGTATAGAATTTCCGGTATTTTGGTTGTCTACTTAATTAGTTTAGCTAATCTTAAGTTACTAAACCCCATTCGGCTGCAGCGGGGGGTCCAGGAAGATCGCAGCCGGGTAGGTAAGCCCGTCGAAAGGCAAGCGAAGGCGTTCTGCCCCCACTTTGTTCGGAGAGCCTTTGTAGGATCTTTTCCGGATCACATGAACCTTGAGGTTGATCTTCCAGGATTCAGCAATATCCTGACCCAGCCCATCTAACCTCGGATTGTGGAATCAGAGATGCTATAGCTTTGCACCAGCTGTACTTTGAACAAATGGTAGCAACTCTGCTGCTGCATGGAAGCATCTTCGAGAAGAAGTTTGAGAACAGTTGCTGGCGGTTGCCCAAAGCCCAAATTTCTTCGGCCCGGAAGAGCATCGTGTAGCCCTCGATCTCCTGATGCACCTTTGCAATTCTGGCAAAAGATCCTATGGAAAAAATCACACAAAACCCTACGAGATGCTATCGCTTCACGAAGAACCGGCTGCCTTGTGAACTTGAAGCACTCCCCGACGAGCCCCCTCGCACGGGAGGTAAAGGGTCTCGAAGCTGTCGTGCTCGCAACGAGACTCAGGATCGGGTCTGCCGTCTGCATCCTCCGACGTCCTGCCTGCGCAGTTGTCTGCTGGTGGCCCGAAGAGTCTTGGCCGAAGGAAAAGCCCCAAGCTAGCCGCTCGAGACCGGAGCTCTTTCAAGGCGGCCTGGCCCACACAAAAGGAATCAGTTGAATCAGCATAGAATCATGGAATTAGAACTGGATCGTAGCCTGCCTCCCAAGTGCATTTGGTGACATCTAGAGTCCCCAGAGGCTGGTTCTTCCAGAAGCAGCCATCGACGTACCGAATCTTTTCGATAATTCGCGTCTTCAGATCGTCTCGTGCCGATCCTTCGCCTAACCTCGGTAGCGAGTGCGAAGCAATCCGAGCGAGCACGTTTCGGTGAGCGAGCACGTTTCGGCGAGCATCGGTGAGCGAGCACGTTGGACAGGCAGAGAGAAGAATCAGTGCAACCGAGTGGCTCCAGAAGTGCATCCAGTCTGTTCTTCAGCCACTGCACGGCGGCCATGACAACCTGAGTGCTGGCTCGCGGCTGCGGTGCTCCTAGGCTGTCTGTTTTGTGCCGGTGCGGCGTCAGCGGCGAGCGTAAAATCTGAGCGAGCACTGACTCCAGTAAACGGCTGGATTTCGAGCGAGC